CCCCAAGCGCCTCGGGCGCGGCCCCGCGTAAGCCAGCGGAGGTGCTGCAGCGCGGCCCTGCCCGGCCGACCGGCTGCTTCGTGGGCCAGCGGGAGGACGGGGCAGGGCGCCCAGCGCTCGGGGCAGCGTGGCACTTGTCCGCCTCGCCCTCGGCGGCCACCGCGCCGTCGCCGCCCGCGGCAGCAGCGGCGAGGGCGCGCGCGTGCCCTGGAACGCGGCAGCGGCCGCAGCGGACAGTGGCGTGCACCAGCATCTGGGGGCAGTGGCCGCGCGGCGCCTCGCGGTCGAGGAGCGCCTCCTGGCGCTCGGCCTCCAGTGGCCCCCCGCAAGAGCCGCAGGGCCCGCCCGGCGGGACGTCGGCGTAGCTCCAGCCAGAAACTGGCCCGCCGAGCTTGGCCCGCTCGCGCGCGCGGCAGCCAGCCGCGGCGCAGTGCCAGCGCCAGCGTTCCCAGGCTGGGACCAGGACTTGTCCAGCCGTGCGGAAACCGCACTGCGTCTTCGCCGTTGCAGTTCGAGCCCCTGGGGCCCCGGAGTTGCCTCCGCAGTCGCCCTGACCTCGCTTGCCAGGGCGGGCGGCGCGAGGGCGACGACATCGTCCAGGTGGGCCAAGACGCGGACATCGTCTGCCCGCAAGCCGAGGGCGGCCGCCCTTCCCTTCCAGCGCGTCTTCACGGCCCCGCAAGGGGGAGCGGAGGCCGCAGGTGAAGCGGAGGGGCGCCAGCTGGTTCCCCTGCAGAGGGCCTCCGTGGCCTTTGCGCGTCCGCGGCCCGCGCCCCGCTGGGCAGTCCGCCGCGGAGCGCGGGGCAGTCCGCCGCCAGCTCGTCCAGCAAGTTGAGCGCGTCCAATCCAGCCCAGCAGTCCGCCGCGAGGTCAGACGGGGCTGCAGCGGCGGCCCCGGCGCCCCGGCGGCGGGCGCAGCTGGTGCCGCGGGTGCCCCGCTGGCGCGCCCTGCCCCGGGGCGCGGGCCCAGGGCCGCGGGGGCAGTGCCGGCGGCGGGCGCGGCGAGCTCCAGAGCCGGCGCGGCGCTTGCCCTGGGCGCGGCGCCAGTCAGCGCGGCGGCGGCGGCGCCCGCGGCGGCGGCCGCGCAGCCGCGGCAAAGCAGCGCGTCGCGGGTGTCGCCGTGCTGCGGCCAGCCGCCTCTGGCCCCCGTGCGGCAGGCGGCGCAGGCCTCCCCAGGAAGCGTCCGTGTTGCGCGGAGCGGGCCGTGGCAGCTCGGGCAAGTCAGCGGAGCCCGCGCGGCTGCCGGCCCTGGGTTGCTGGCTTCGCCTCCTCGCACGCCGGCGTGGCCGCAGCGTCGCCTCGGCGGCTGCGACTGCGAGCGCCCAGAGCCTGGGCGGGCGGTTGAGCCGCGGCCAGGCGGCGGGCGGCGGCCGCCTCCCGGCGGACCCCCTGCAGGCGCCTGGCGGCCTGGCGGAGGACCCCGTCGTCCGCCTCCGCCGTCGTCCGTCTGTCGAGCTCTTCGGGGAGGCCGTCCTCCCTGAAGTCGTCGTCCCCGTCTTCGTCCTGGAGGTCCTCCCAGCGTCTCCTCTCGCCCGGGGCTGCGCCGAGCGCGTCGGCCAGGTCGGGCTGGGGGGCTGGCGCCGCCACGGCCACTAAGGGCAGCGTGCGCCGCGGCCATCGCCGCGAGCAGCGGCTCCGGCGCGTTCTTTCAGGTTTGGGCCCCGTCTCCCATCTCGCGCGTTGCCCGCGCCGGCCTGGGACTCCGCGTCGGCTGCGGCCGCCCGCGCCGCCGCCGCCCGCTGCGCCGCCTCCTCCGCGCGAGCCGCGGCTTCGGCGGCCGCCGCCTTTCGAGGGCGTCCTCGAGGCGGCGCTGCGCGGCCTCCAGCGCCTCCTCTGCTGCGTGCGCCGCTGCCGTCGCCTTTTCCGCCGCCGCCCTCAGGCCGCCGAAGCGGTCATTGCCGCGGAGTTCCGCCTGCCGCTTTCGCGCGGCCCGCTCTTCCGCCAGAGCCCCAGCGCGCCTGGTCGCCGCGGCCACCTGGCGGAAGGCCTCTCTGCTTGGGCCCCTGGGCGTGGTCCCCGGCGGCCTGGCAAGGCCAGCCAGGCTTCGCCCGAGCCGCCTTCGGCAACCGCAGGTGGGTGCGGGCAGTTGGCCTTGGCCTCGGCGCGGGCGGCGCCGCACCGGCGGCAAGCCCCGCGGTTTTGGAAGTTGCCAGTGCCGCAGGGGCAGCGCCACTCCGCGCGGCGCTGCGGCAGCTGCTCCTGGCTGAGCCAGCCTCCAGTCCCGAGGAGGCTCGTGAGGAGCTGCTGCGCGAGCTCTTGGTCGGGGCGCCCGAGCCTGCCGCCGCGGCGCCGAACCAGGGTCCATGCCATGGCGCGGAGGGGCGGGAGGAAGGTGCGAAAAGGAGGCGGCCGGGCAGTGGTTGCGCGCGACTTGATCCATCCCCTCCTCCTTCTCCTCCTCCACCTCTTCCTCCTGGGGTGCCTTCGGAACCAGCCGTTGGCGTGCCACCAGCTCTGCAGGCAGAGGAGGCCGAGCCAAGGGAGGGGGACAGGCGTCGAGTTCGGGTGGTCGTCGTCGCGGGGGGGAGAGTGGGAAGGGTGCGCGCGTGCGCGCTAGTCCCCGTGGATGTACCTGCCAGGGTTGCGCGCCCGAGCGGCAGATCGCCTCCGTGGGGGCAGCGCGGACATCTGTCCGAGAGGCCATGGGCCCTCTCGCAGCTCGAGCAATCTGCTGGACCTCTGGGCCTCTGGGTAATCTGATCTGATCGGATCAGATCTCTCCTCCTCCTTCTCCTCCTCCTCCTCCTCCTCCTCCTCATCATCATCATCATCATCATCATCATCATCATCATCATCATCATCATCATCATCATCATCATCATCATCATCATCATCATCATCCCCTTCTTCTTCTCCTCCTCCTCCTCCTCTTCTTCTCCTCCTCCTCCTCCTCCTGCTCCTCCTCCTCCTCCTCCTCCTCCTCCCCCCTCCCGTAACCTTTTGGAGAACGTGATTGAGTCTGACGGGCTGGCCTGTCATGCGTCCATTGGCGCAGCGGAGGGACATCGCGGCTGGTCTTCTCCATTCCTCCGCAGCTAAGGCTTCGCCAAAGCTTTCCGCAGAGTGCGCCCCGATTGGATCGAGTGGACGCTGGACACATGGAATCTCCCGTTTGGCTCCTTATCCCTGCTCCTCGCCCCCTTGCCTTGCAGCGACGCGAAGGGCCTGGACGTCAGCCCTGCTCGGGCCTCGCCCTGCGCTATCCCCTCGGGGGTGCTGCAGGACGACCCCCTTGTCGGGCTCGACGTTCGCCTTCGCGGCTACCGCGTTCACGGCAGCGCGCGAACACCAGCTTCATGGGCGGAAGCCGGGGCGCGCCGTCATTCCGTTGCACGGGCCGCCTCGTTCGTGTTCGTTTTCGTCCTCGCGGGCCTGGTCCCGAAGACGGCCCGCTCTTGAAGTGTGTCAGGTGCTTCTGCGTCCCGCTCGCCTGCGAGTTCTCCCTGGGCCAGGCCCACGACAGTAAGTGCCCCTTGGAGATGGCAGATCGCACGCCCGGGATGGTCGCCCTTCACGGTGGCCCCGCCGATGGAGCTGCTGGGCTGCCTGATGGGCCGAGCGGTCCTGCTGGGTGCGCAGTGGCGCGGGCCCCTGGCCAGGTGTCGCCAGCGCGCCCCCTCGGCAGCTGCCGCGCCGCTGGGCGTCGGCACGCTGCTGAGCGACTGCCAGGGCAAGGTACAGTGAGCGGCTTGAATAAGGAACACATACTTTTCAAACGGGGCTCGGTCGTTCCTTAGGCTTGCATGCGTTAGTTACAGTTCCTTATGCGTTAGTTGTTATTTATCGTTCCTTACGCGTTATTCCTTGGGATGAAAAAGGGGCTTCGTTCCTTATTTATCGTTCCTTAGGTCAGGCCGATGACTGTACTATCCGTGCTGCGCTATGATCGGGATCACACCCACCTGATAACATTATGTGTGTTCGTCGAGTCTCCTCCCTCCCAGGGGCAACGCGCGCGCCGATATCTCTTGCAGTATATGATTCGAGGCCGGCGCTTTCTAGCCGTAGCGCTTGGGAACGGATGCGCTACAAGATGGTTGCACGATATGTTCGGGTTGGACGCGCTCCTCCAACGAGGACACATAGCACTAGCATGCCCCTGTGCGTCCCATATGAGGCCCAGCTGTGCGGCCAACCTCGGGGCCCGATCCTGGATGGTCAGTTCGTCCTCGCGAGGTGCCTGTGCACGTCGGGCAGCCCTTTTCAACAAGTGGTCGCCCCGACGGTCGCCGACGCCCGCCTCCAGGATTTCGATCGGAGGTGCGCTTTTAGTGAAAGCATTGCTTCCAGTGCTCGCTGCCTCGTGGCCTGAGCGACCGAGTGGTCTGCTCACTTCTTCCTCGGCTCGCCCTGAGGCTCTCGGACTGGCTCAGCCCTCCCCCGAGGGACCCCGCTCGGTCGCCCTGATGTGCCATACCCATCTTATCCTCCACTCTTAAGCGAGGGGGCGGCGTCGCTTTGATAGTGACGTTTCCCCACGAATCGAGCCTTTCGATCGCGAAGGCGGCGGGGCTTGCTTTGCACCTCCCGACCAGGGTCCCTCAGCAGCAGCAGCAGCAGCAGCAGCAGCAGCAGCAGCAGCAGCAGCAGCAGCAGCAGCAGCAGATGTAGGATGGAGGTGCCCTCTTTCCTGACACTTTCCCTTCTTCCTCATCCCCTCCGTCCTCCTCTTCTCCGTCCCCGCAGAGTTTGATCAGAGGCTGGGCCCGTGCGTCGGCGAACGGATCGCGATCCAGATCGTGCCGCTGGAGGCCCAGCTGCGCCGCGCCGTGGCCTTGCGGCTGGCGCGCTGCGCAGGATCTCGCTGTGCAAGCTGAGGGCAAATCAGCCGCACCACGAAGGACGACGCCACGAACGCGCGGCGAATCCCACCAGCCCTCTGGGCGCGGGTGGCCCAGGGAGGCTCCTCCTCCAACCCCCTTCTTCCCCGTCAGGGAGGGACGTGCCCTTCCCCCTGCCCCCTCCATCCTTGCCCTCCTCCCCCTCCCTCTCCCTCTCCGTGCTCCACTGCTCCGCCTTCCTCCCCCGGCCGCAGCCCACCCCCCCCATGCCGGAGGTGGTGTGGAACTTCCCCATCGGGCTCGTGCTCAAGTCCACCTCGCCTTTCGGCTGGCCTCGGACACCCCCGGGCTGCGGGCGCCTGTCTCGCCTCCCCGGCCCCGCCCCCTGCGCGACGGAAGGGGGCCGCGGGTTGCCCGAGGAGGACGGGCGGGCGGAGGCTCCAGGCGCCAGGCGGCTCGAGTTTGTTTGAGGCATGGGCGCCCAGAGAGATCCGATGCCTTGGAGGAAAAAGGCGCCCATACCCCTACCTTTGCCTCGTTCTCCCTTTTTGGGGGCCTCCTGGGGGGCCCTCGTCGCCACCGCTGGGTCTGGGGAGGCGGTGGTTGGGTGTGAGATCGCAGTGGAATGGAGAGCCCCCCACCGGAGAAGCGGTGTCAGTTTCGTGTTCGTGTCGTGCGTGCGGGCGAGGCGAAACTGCGTGGGCGCGCGAGAGGAATGATGCCGCCTTGGCTAGGGGCTGTGGAGCTGGTCCGCCCCTCCCCCCCCTGGCGCGCGGTGGCCGGGGGTCTCGCGTCGGTGGCGCATCGGTGTCCGGTCGGTGTTTCGTCGGTGTCTCGTCGGTGGCGCGGGGTGTCCCGACGGTAGCTCCGGGTGTCCTGCCGTGGTGTCTCGATAGTAATTCGTGAGATCAGTTGTGAGATCGATCGTGAGATCGATAGTGAGATCGATTGTCTGATCGATCGTGATCGTGAGGTCCATCGTGAGATCGAGATCGATAGTGAGATCGATAGTGAGATCGATCACAACAGATCCTTGGCTGGGGGTGCCCCGCCGTTCCTGGGGGTGCCCCATCATGGTGTCCCGATGGTGTCTTTGAGATCTCTTGTGAGGTCGATCTTGAGGTCTCGTATGATATCGATATTGTGGAGGCATCTGGCCAGTGCCGCCGATCCGCGACGATCCCGCTGTCAGAAGGACGCTTTCGCCTCAGCGCGCTTGTTCAAACGTAAGTGGTTTGGAAACAGCTTGGAGGCATTGCGTGGGCTTCTTGAGGGGCCTCTACGACGCATCTTCGAGGCCTCCTGGGGGGACGTCTTGGAGGCGATTGTTGAGCCTCTTTGGGGCCTTCTGGGCTTCTTGGGGGGCATGCAGGAGGCATCCTGGAGGCCTCCTGGGAGTGTGTAGGAGGTAATTTTCAAGCCTTCGGGAGCGCTTTTGGGCGCCTTTTGGGGGCCTCTTGAGGGCCACTTGGAGCCTCTCAGGGTTTCTTGGGGACTCCTAGGGCCATTTTGGTGCCTCCTGGGCGCCTCTTGGGCCATCTTGGGCCCATTGGGGCCGTCATGGAGCCCCCTTGGGCGCTTCTTGGGCCCGTCCTGGGGCCCGCTTGGGCTGCCTTGGGGGCCTCCCGGGCCGTCTTGGGCTCTTCTTGGGCCGACTTGGGCCCCTCTTGAGAGCCTCTTGGCCTGTTTTGGGGGTCTCTTGGGCGGTGTTGGGCACTGCGAAGGCCGAAGAAGCGAAAATGCAAAACATGTACGTATTCCCAAGGGAAGAGGACAGAATTTCCGTCTTTGGGCACTCTTAGGAAGTGTTGGGAGGGTACGTTGGAGGCTTATGAAACCGTTTGAGAAACATATTGAGTGTCTTGAGTCTTGGAGCGATGTTTCGGCCACTCAGGGCCCTCTTGGGCCGTCTGGGCGGCCGCTGGGTTTTTTATGAGCCCGCATTCGAGCTCTCCAGGGCGATGGGCCGACCCGGAGTGAGCTGGAGCTCCGATTTTGCCACCAAAATTGACTCCCCCCCCCCTACCGCGGCAGAGCCACCCCGGCACCCACCCCCCAGCAGAGCTGAAGCTCAAGAACTGAGGCTCAGGCTATATCTGAGGGCTTTTGAAACTCACACGCCGGATCGGCGGATTGAGATCAATAGTGAGATCGATAGTGAGATCGATAGTGCGATCGATATCGAGAGTGATAGTGAGATCGATGGTGCGATCGATTGTGAATTCTTGAGGTCGATGGCGCCATCTTATCGTTATCACAATCATCGCAGTTGTTGTTAGTGGGTTCCTTTCCCTTCCCGGCCTCCTTATCAACCGAAGGGTGGTCGTATAGGTAGCGGTATCGGTAACTTTGGTTCCCCAAGATTTGTCAGCACGGGGTCCCCGCGTGTCCTAGCTCTTTCCCCCAGGGTGGGTTTCCCAGCGAGGGCCCCAAGGGCCGAAGAGGGTGACACGTTTCTGCATTGCTCTTGCAACACGTTGGGGGTGTAGGCCCCCTGGACCCGTCGACCCCTTCCCCCGCTCTTTCATTCAGCCACCTTCCAGGTGGCGCACAACTGGCGCAAAGATCGGCCGTCTGTTGTCTTGTTCGAGCCACACGGTATCTGGGGAGGGTCAAGAGCTTTTCTCAGTCGCCCGCAAGACTCGATGATGATAATAATAATGATGCTGCTGCTGCTGATGATGATGATGATGACGATGATGATGATGATGATGATGATGATGATGATGATGATGATGATGATGATGATGATGATGATGATGATGATGATGCTGATAATGATGATTATGTTGATGTTGATGCTGATGATGCTGATGATGATGAATCTGATGCTGATGATGCTGCAGCTGATGATGATACATATGCAGGTGATGCTGTCGATGCCGATGCCGATGATGATGCTGATGATGCTGATGCGGATGATGCTGATGCTGATGCTGATGATGCTGATGATGATAATGATAAGGATGCTAATCATGATACTGCTGATGATGATGACAAGGATGATACTGCTGCTGCTGATGATGATGATTACGACGATCCTGATGATGGTGACGATGATGATGATGATGATGATGATGATGATGATGATGATGATGATGATGATGATGATGATGATGATGATGATGATGATGATGATGGTGATGGTGATCATGATGCTGCTGATGATGAGGATGATTCTGATGTTGATGATGCTGATGATGTTACTGATGATGATACTGATGCTGCTGATGATGATGTCGATGTCTGTGCCGATGATGATATTGATGATGCTGGTTATGATGCTGCTGCTGCTGATGATGATGATGATGATGATGATGATGAAGATGATGATAATGAGGATGACCATGTGTGCGAGAGACTGCTGGTGATGATGACGACGGTGACGGGGATGGTCATGGCGATGGACATGATGATGCTGCTCTTAATGACGTTTATCGTTATGATGTAGCTTGGAGCGCATTGCGCTGTCAAATCAACTTGCCTGGGACTCTGAGTATTGCCGCCAGCACGGCTCTGCGCTGGTCTATCAAAGCGAGATTGGGAACCACGTCGCGCCCCAAACCCATGGCGAGGACGCGGGCCTCGTTTTATCCATAGGGTTGAGCCGCGTCCGAGCGGAGCTGCTGGCTGCCAAGGATAGCGGTGGTCGTCTACGGCACCGACATGTGCAACCGGCGGGTTGTGAAAGGCAGCCAGCGACGGGCGGCCGACGGCAGGATGGGGCGGAGGACGAAGAGGAGGAGAGGAGGAGCTGGAGGAGGACCGGTGTAAACCCGAGACGCATCAACGATGTTGACATAAACCACCCCTCCAAGTTCCATCTTCATGGATTCCTACAGGAATTCATTTTCATTGCGGGAAGTGCCCCATTGAAAGACAACCCTCTGAGGATCCTGAGCTGTGCCGAGACACCATTCCTGGGACCTCGGCGCCGCGAGTCAACGTGGCCGTCGCGTCGTGACAGTTCAACCCCGCGAGTCAACGTGACTGTTGCGTCCTGACATGCCAGAAAACGGTTCCTGGGGCGTCAGCCATGCGAGTCGTTGAAACTGCTGCTGCTAGCTTTTACGGCGAGTGCGCACGGCGGTGAGGCGAGAGCCGCATTTCGAAAAGGAGCCGCCCTCCATCCGCGTAACATGTGCACACTTGTGCGACGAATGTGCGCGGCGCCAAGGCGATAGCTACAGGGGAACACCGCCCGCCCTCCACCCTGTGACGCTGTGACAAACTTGTAAGGCGACTGTGCGCGGCGCTGAGGCGAACGTCATAGTTCTTTTGAGAGCCGCTCGCCCTCCGTCCGTGATGCTGTTAAAAGCGTTGAAGACGAACGTGCGTGGCGTTGAGGAGAGAGATGCATTGAACAAAAACGGTCCGCCCTCCACTCGTGAGGCCCCTGTGCGCTTTGAAGACGAATCTGCGCGGCGCAGAGGCGAGCACCCCGTTTTGAGAGAGGGCCCGCCCTACGCCAGTGAAGCTGCTGCAGATCTCCAGCTTCAGGGCCATCAGTGATGGGGAAGCCTCAGGCGGAGCGCCTGGCCCGCCCTGCCTACACGTCTGGAGTTACTTGCAAGGGAAAGGGATGGGGGAGGAGGAGGAGGAGGAGGAGGAGGAGGAGGAGGAGGAGGAGGAGGAGGAGGAGGAGGAGGAGGAGGAGGAGACGGGTGGGTGTGATATGGTGGAAGGTGGGGGGGGAGGACACGTGTGGTGGGAGGAAGGGTAGTGCATTTCTCTCCCCCCCTCGCACATCTCCCCCCTTCCTCTTTGGAGGCGGGCACGCAGAGTGTGGAGTGTGTGTGGCGTCTGCACCCCTCGCCGTTCTGCGTGTGTGTGTGGCAGCATTCTTTTTCCTACGCCGCGCCGCCGCGCGCGTGGTCGCGACGCCGCAAGAGTGTGTGGCGGCATTCGCGTTTTGACGCCCCCAGGGCCGACGTTTTGTGTGGCAGCTGGGTGCAGCACCGTGTCGCCGAATTCATGGGTATTCCAGCCCGTCTGCTTTCTCTCTCCCCTCCTCCGCCTCCCTCCGCCTCCCTCCGCCTCCCTCCGCCTCCCTCCGCCTCCTCCTCCCTTCCTTCGCCCGCCGCCCAGGACCGTTGGCGGGCTCGGGCCGAATTCGCGCACGGGGTGCTCCAGCGTCAGCCCTTCGACCGGGCTTCCTTTCTGTCTGCCTGGCCGCCGAGGCACCTTTGAGACTCCGCTGGTCCGATCTGGGCCTCGGGGCTGCGTTCATCTGAATTCTTGGCTGCTGGTGTTCCTTCTGCTCGTCTTGTCGCTGGCTGCTCGTCAAACTTGCTAGGTCCATCTTCCGTTGCTCACTGGTGTGATCTACGGTGGGGGCGTTGGTTCCGGAATGTGCTCAGGAGGCTTCCAGCCCTGGAGGACTCTTATCTGATGAGGGCGGCGGTGATATCCATGGGCAATATACGATTGGAGTTCCACCAGCTTCCAGACCCTGGATTCCTTATCCAATGGTTCCCTATCCAATGCCCACACCATCCGTAGCCATTTTGGCTCAAGGCCATGGCGCACCCGACGACCGCGAGTCCGTCGGGCGATTCTGAGCGCTCGCGCGAGGGGCGCTCCGCTAAGAGCCAAAGGATTGCGCAGTGTTGTCTTTAGAGGTTCTACAGTCGGCGGGCATTCGGCACATGGCGACCGTCCGCGCAGGACATGCCGCTGGCGGCCGTGGCAGCAGGAACCCGCGAGGTCGATGGGGCAAGTGCTGGTTCTGATCGGCATGTCGCGAGTGGAGCTGGTGCACCTGTTTCGCATGCTGGGCCTGCGGCCAGATCGCCCCGTTCTTGGTCGGAGCGGCCGAACAGAAGTCCTCGGCTGGAGCGGCCGCGCAGCCAGAGGTCGTCGCCGACTCGAACGGCTGGGTGCTGCAGAGGCGCGGACGCGCGGCGGCCCGCAAGGCCCGTGCAGCGGCGCGGCAGGCTGCCCGAGGAGGCCAGAGGGACGGCGGCGCACAGAGTGCTGCTGGAGCCAGCGAGGGCAGCACCCCAAGAGGAACCGAACCCACGTCCGAGGGCATTCGCAGCGAGGTCGTGCGGCTCGAGAAGCTCCTGCAAGATCCGCTCGTCGGCTTCTCGTCGGAGACGCGAGGGGGAACTGGAGGAGAGGCTCGCGAGGCAGAGGAGCTTGCTCGACGAGGCCCTCGAGGCGAGCAGGTGGCCAGGCGTGCAGCGCGGCCCAATGCAGCCGTCTTGCGCTCGGCGGGTTCCGCGCTCGGCAAGGCGGAAGGCAGGGTCCGCGGCAGGGGGAAGGCCCTGCCGGACGCCGAGTCCGCCCTTGCCAGGCGTCGCAGGCGCTCCACCGGGGCCCACCAGCGTGCAGCGGACTGCCGGCAGGCGGCCGAGCAGGCCAAGAAGGATTTCGAGGAGCAGCGCTCGGCCCTCGCGGAGGCGGGGCGCCCGCGGGCGAAGGCAGCGGGGACGGCCCTCTCGGCAGGCAGCCCGTGGGAGCTGGTGGGCGGGCTCCTCCGCCAGATCGAGCTCTGCTCGGGGCGGACCCCGCAGAAATGGTGGGGGCCCTCTCGCAGCAGGCGGCGGCCATCTGAGAGCGCGGGCCGTTCCTTCCACCGGCCTGCGCGGCGTGGGCCGACAGTTGCCCTGCGGAGCGCGGCGGCTTGGACGTCGACGGCAGCGACGTGGAGTTCCTGCCGCCCGCAGCGGGCTGCATCCGCCCAGGCCCGCCTGCTCGGGGCGCGGCCAGCGGCTTCTCGTTTAACCCCCAGCAGCCTGCTGCCGACCGCGGGCAAGGTGGGCGCTCAGGGGGCGTTGCGGGCCCATGGACCAGGCCAGGCCCCGAGCTCGCGCGCGGGCTGGCCAATGCGATCGCGGCTATCGCCGAGGATTTGCCCCTGGTCGAGGGTCTTGCTGCTGTGGGGCCTGCTGATGGGCCAGCGCGGGGGTAGCCATCCAGTCAGGCGTAGCTATCTTGAGGTGGCCCGAGGCCTTGGACGGACGCCATACCCAGCGCGGTCGACGTCGGTGGTAGGAGGCGTCCCAGTGGTGGTTGACACAAGCGCTGAGGCGACACTGGGGGGGCCCCTGGTTGTGGCGGAAGCGGCAGTAGCGCCACCACCCGGGCGGCGGCCGCGGACGAGGTCGCGGTCAGGGAGGGGCCCGTCACCGGGAGGTGGAACCCCTGGCCACGACATCGTGAGGTGGTCCAGGGGAAGGTGGAACCTAGCCTGGGCCTCGCGGTGAAATAGCGGGGCAAGCGGTCGCCGTGAACCCCGTGCCCGTTCCGTGGGAGGGCGTCGTGGTCTCGGGCAAGGGCCAGTCGGACGAGAAGCAGGTGCTCACGCTCGCGGAGTGCGCCAGCATCGCGACGCTGAACGGCTCCACTTGGGCCAGGAGCAGGCCGCCATCGAAGGCCTTCTGGACGCGGGGGCCACGGGCGACGTCTTCCTGCTGCAGGAGACCCGCTTCGCGTCGAAGCACGCTGAGGACTCGGCGCGGGGGTGGAGGGTCCGCAACAGGGTGCTCGCGGCCTTCATGCTCCTGCCGCGGGACAGGCTCAACAGCCCAGGCAGCGTCCTTTGGTGTGGCCATCCTCGCGGCGAAGCGCCGAGGAGTCAATGTGGTGGACCAGGTGTGGGCCCCCACTGCGCGATGCTTGTCGCGAGGAGAGTGGCCTTCGGCGACCTGGTCGTCGTCGTCGTCGTCGTCGTCGTGGTCAGTGCCTACCTGGAGCGCTCCTCGGGGCTGCGCGGGTGCAGCGTCGACTTGCTAGAGGACTTGCAGCTGCTCTTCGGTCAGATCTCGGAGCCCTTCATCGTCGGCGCTGACTGGATCATGGGCCCCCGCCTCCTCGAGAGTTTCTGGTGGCCCAGAGCTGTCGGAGGTGCAGTGGTCGCGCCCGTGCTCCCCGCGTGAGGCGAGCGCGCGTACGACCACTTTGTGATATCGTCCTCGTTGGCTGCCCTGAGCCCCCAGGTGGTGCCGCGCCCCGATCCGCCCGCGACCCGGCCGCGACCTGGCCGCGACCCAGCCGCGACCCAGCCCGCGAGCCACCCGCGACCCACCCGCGACCCAACCCGCGACCCACCCACATTGCTTTAACAAGAAGTCGGCGCCTGCCTCGGCTAGTTGTATATGTTGCCTTGTCAAAATGATACGCATGCGGCGGGTTTCTTCCGATCTTCACAGACTGCCGACGTCCCTGCCGCCCCCTCACTCTTGTCCGCAAGTGCGGGGTGCTACGTGTTTGTATTTTTTCCGTCCCCATATTTAGTTATATATATATATATATATATATATATATATATATATATATATATATATATATCTATCTATATCTATCTATAAGCTGCTTATTTGAAGCTTCGTGGGTGTTTTTTGTGGCCGTATCGGGGCTGCCTTGGGCGCGGTGAATCCGCCGAGCTCCCCCGAGGAGGTTTTATGTTTTTTTTGGGACGTCTGCGAGGGTCTTGGCACGGTCTTGGAAACCCCCTCGGACCGTCTGGGAGGCTTCTCGGCCAGTGTCGGGGCCACCTGTGGCTCTCTTGAAACAGTCGTGGGTTGTCAGGGGGGCTTCTCAGAGTTTTCTGAAGCTTGCCTGAGGCGGTCTGAAACCAATTTGCGTCAGAAGCAACACCATGCATGGGTTTTTTCCGTGAGCAGTGCTTGATCTTCGGGCCCTTTGCTTCTCTCACTAAAGCATTGGCCGGGTCTCCGCGCGTGGGCGTCTCGTGGCCGCCTCGTTGCTGTTGACGTGGGGTGTCCGCCAAGGTTTCGCCGCGCCGCCGCCCGTGGCCGTCTCGTGGCCGCTTCGTTGCCGCCCATTTTCGCGCGAGATGCGATTCGACCACTGAAGTGAATCGACTTCCAGTGTTGTCCTGGAACAGAAACGCGGCAACCATCGTTGATCCAATCCGCGCGGCCGGGAAGAGCGAGTTCCCTGGCGCCGCCAGGGATCGCCGGCAGAGGAATGCATTTCCAAGACCCCCTCTTTCTGAGAGACCCAGCCACCCCCGGCCTGGACCCCTCGGGCCAAGGGTGCGGCCCGCGAGTCGGGACCCGGACAGAGCCTTCTCGGGCCAAGTCTCCCCGATTCAGTCGTCGTGCATTTTGGCGACAGTGCCGACGAATTTTCGAGTGACCACTTGAGTCAGCGCTCGGTAGCCATTCGAGTTTTCCAGTACAGTCGTGTGTTCTGGTGACCACCGGTGGGCTGGACAGGGCCGTTCCCCGGGCGGCGGGCGGCGCGGGGCAAGGGGGATTGGTTCTCGGCGCCAGGATAACCACGCGTGACCCCCCCCAACCCAGGATGCTCCAGGTTCCTCGGCAGCACTTGCGCGTGCCCGCATCTCTCCTGCTGCTCGGCCGCGCCAGCTGCCCCGAACACAGGCACGGGACAAGTGCTTGCAACAGTACAGTGAGCGGCTTGAATAAGGAACACTTACTTTTCAAAATGGGCTCGGTCGTTCCTTAGGTTTTGCATGCGTTATTCACAGTCCCTTATGCGTTATTTGTTGTTTATCGTTCCTTTTGCTCTATTCCTTGGGATAAAAAAGGGGCTTCGTTCCTTATGTATCGTTTCTTAGGTCAACGCCCCGACTGTGACTCTCGTCACTGTCCGTCGCCCGACACCTGGGGGCTCTGCCGAGTTTCCGCCGCGCCTCCGCGCTTTGGGCGTGTCTTCGCCGCCCGCCGCGCTCGGGGATTGTCCGCCGACTCGCGTCGCCGCCCACGGCCTCCTCGTTGTCACCCACCCCTCCTCCTCGTCCTCCTCCTCCTCCTCCTCCTCGTCCTCCTCCTCCTCCTCCTCCTCCTCCTCCTCCTCCTCCTCCCCCTCCCTTTCCTGGGGCTCATATTTCGTTCCTTCTGAACTTGGGCCACACATCTTCACCACATGAACTCGCACACGCACACACCATTCAACACACGCCGCCGTGGTTGTGCCGCGTGCCTTGCACCATGCAGAGCCTCCACCGCATAGATGGCACCACGCCGCTTGAGCCACACAGCTGGCACATCCACAGTGCAAACACGTGCTGTTTGTGGTCCACGCTGGCAAATCAGGGTGAGGGGGCCGAGTGGTCATTCACTGTCCCTGGGCGCGTGGCTGAAATGAGGTTCTGCGGTGCGGATTGTTGTTGTTGCGTCTTCATTTCTAACCAGTAATTGTTGTTGATCCCCCCCTCCCGGAAACCATTGCATTTTTCAATTGAAATGCTCCTCCCGGGGCTCGCACCCTGTTTTCCAGAAGGAAAGCCCAAACTGCGCCCCTGGCCCCCAGTTTACAACAAGGCTCCCTCCTGGTATTTCCTCACAAGTTATTCCCAAATCGCGCTATCGCGCGGGACTTCTTTACAATTTGTCAAAACCGCGTAGTCGCGTGGGACTTCTTCGCAATTTATTCAGACGCCGCGCCCTCGACACTCAGGAATCACGCTCTCGCTATGGCCCATCTTACGATTTACTTGGGAATCGCGCTATCGCTCGAGACGTCCTCACGGTTCATGCAGGACGCAAGTTTCAGGAACCCGCCTGCTCGACCTGGCTGCGTGGGCCCACCTTCCGACCCGCTTGTTAGGGCCTTCCCGCCCGATCTGCCCGTCTGGTTCTGTCACGTGTTTTCTGCTCCTATCCCCCCTCCTGCTACTCTCTCTTTCTCTCTCTCTCTTGTGCTCCATCTTCCTCCCTCCCCTTTGTCCCTTTCTTCCATCCGTCCTCTCTTCCTCTGCCGTAGGGGCTGCATTAAATACACGTTGCAGGTAAGGAATGCATCTCTCTCTATATATATATATATATACACATATATCCCTAAGGGGGTACGATCGAGGACGAAGAGGGCGGGAATCGAGGGCTTGGGATATACGTGTTGAGCGGCACGCGAGCAGATAACAGTGACCAGTCTTAAACTGATTGTTTTTGTTGTTGTGGTGGTTGTTTTTGCTGTTTGCTGTTTGTTGCTTGTTGTTGTTTGTTGTCGTCCTCCTCCCGCGACCCACCCGCGTCCCACGCGCGACCCACCCGCGACCCATCCGCGACCCGCCCCGCGACCCACCCGCGACCCACCCGCGACGACCCACCCTGCGACCCACCCGCGACCCACCCGCGACCCACCCCGCGACCCACCCGCGACCCACCCGCGACGACCCACCCCGCGACCCACCCGCGACCCACACTCGACCCACCCTGCGACCCACCCGCGACCCACCCGCGACCCACCCGCGACCCACCCCGCGACCCACCCCGCGACCCACCCGCGACCCACCCGCGACCCACCCCGCGACCGAACCGCGACCCACCCGCTAACCATCCGCGAGCCACCCGCGCACCACCCGCGATCCTTCCGGGACCCGGCCGCGACCCGCCTGACCCGCGAGCCATTCACGACCCCCCCGCGACCCAACCCGCGACCCACCGCATGCGCAGTATTGTTACAAGCTATACAACGAGCCCGCCGCAGGCACTTTTTTTGGTTAAACAATGTGATTGGGTCGCGGGTTGGGTCGCGGGTGGGTCGCGGGTGGCTCGCGGGCTGGGTCGCGGCTGGACAGGAAGAGGAGAAGGTTGAGGAGGAGGGGGAAGTGAGGAGCAGGAGGGATATGAGGAGGATGACGTGGACATTCCGACGTCGCCCGCCCCCAGGCTACGGCTCCGTGCACGTGCCCTGCCAGCCTGGCCGGCACGTGCGGACAGTGAGGCTGTGCCCTGGATGGGGCTCCAATGGGCGGGTTTGGGGCAGAGGGTGCTGGCCCTCCTCAGCGCTCCTCCGCCCACCTGCTTCTTCACCTCCTCCTTCTTCTCAACCTCCTTCTCCACCTCCACCTCCACCTCCACCTCCTCCTCCCTTTCCACCTCCCACCACCACCTCTTCACCACATCCTCCATCACCTTCTTCTCCTGCTCTTCCTCCAGCTCCTTCCGTCTGCACCTCCTCCGCATCCGCTTCTGCCTCCTTCTTCACCTCCTCCACCTCCTTCTCATCCGCCTCCTTCTCCACCTCCACCTCCACATCCTCCCGCTCCACCTCCGCCTCCGCCTCCTCCTCCACCTCCTCAGCACTCCTCCTCCTCCCGCCTCCCCCTCTCGCCGACGCTGGGAGTGGGTCTAGGTCGAAGCCTCCGCTCCCTCTTATCGCCCCCCCATCCCAGCCCACGCGTCGGGGGAGGGGTGGAACATTTTTTTGTGTGACGAGGAGAATGAGCGGGGGAGACATTGTTTCCTTGCATCCCTCCTCCCACTTTCCTCCTCCCTCCTCCCTCCTAGCCCTCCTCCACCTCCTTCTCCTCCCCCTGCTCGTCCCTCCTAGCCCTCCTCCCTCCTCCTCTCTCCTCTCTCCTCCTCTCCTCCTCCCCTTCCTCTTCCTCTTCCTCTCCCTCCTCCTGCTGCTGCTGCTGCGCTCCCGCTGGCGGACCGCTGTCCGTAGTGTGCACACGCGGGCGCCCGCGGCCGCGGCCGCGCCCGACATCCTCTCACCTCATCCTGCGAGGCTCTGCAGAAGCCCGCCGCAGGCGCCTAACTTTCACAAAGGATCCCACGAGCCAGCCGCAGGCACCGATTTCTTCGTTCAAGCCATGTGGGTGGGCCGCGGGTTGGGTCGCGCGGCGGGTCGCGAATGGGTCGCGGGTGGGTTGCAAGTGGGTCGCGGGTGGGTCGTGGGGTGGGTCGCGGGTGGGTCGCGGGTGGGTCGCGGATTGGTCGCGGGTGAGTCGCGGGTGGGTCGCGGGTGGGTCGCCGTCGCCTGACGTCATCCTCTCA